ATGTTCTCTTTTAAGCCTCTGGTTTATTTATAAAGTGCATCAAGAAGGGGTTCATTAAATTTTCTATAATAATGAAAAAATTAATTAATATACATATAATTTTATATATATATATATATACAAAAACATATAATGCAAAATTCTGAATATTTTGTTCAGCATGACTTTTCACTTTTGTCTTGATAACTAAGTCTTATGAATGAAATAGAAATACAAGCTCCACACTGATTTTGAGTGGCTTTATTCTTTGACTTAGTTTTTTATTTCTATAAACACACTAATGCAAAATGGAAAAAAATAATAACATACTTTCTACTGAGAAGACATTACGGTGTCATTAAGTCACGTATAACTTGTCACATTAAAAAAAAAAAAGTGTAAACCCTATCAAAACAGAAAAATTAATGCATTCGCTAACACTGAAAATCACCTTCATGTAGATTATTAGTTATCTTGTCTGTGTCCGCTCCTGTCAGCGGTCCTTGACAGAATCTATTTTTAGCTCCTTTAAGAAGTGCCGGGTCATTGCTTCACTGATCATTATGGAATCGCTACCCGGCCACGGCAAATAGGAAAGTCTACTGTTTACAAGACATTTCCTTTAATAATAATTTTATTTCCTGTAATAATACTTCGTTACAGTAGCATACTTAAGTATTATTTTTTATTTCTATAAACACACTAATGCAAAATGGAAAAAAATAATAACATACTTTCTACTGAGAAGACATTACGGTGTCATTAAGTCACGTATAACTTGTCACATTAAAAAAAAAAAGTGTAAACCCTATCAAAACAGAAAAATGAATGCATTCGCTAACACTGAAAATCACCTTCATGTAGATTATTAGTTCTCTTGTCTGTGTCCGCTCCTGTCAGCGGTCCTTGACAGAATCTATTTTTAACTCCTTTAAGAAGTGCCGGGTCATTGCTTCACTGATCATTATGGAATCGCTACCCGGCCACGGCAAATAGGAAAGTCTACTGTTTACAAGACATTTCCTTTGGCTCATAATAAAGAATTTCTTTCTTTTGAGAAACACAGAAGCAGATTTTCATCCCCAGTGACCATACATTTCTCCATTTTGCATCATTATCAGTGGTGTAATGTAACGAAGTAATAATACTTCGTTACAGTAGCATACTTAAGTATTATTTGGGAGTATCTGTAGGCTACTTTACTTGCGTTTTTATATTTCAGCCAACTTTTACTCCACTACATTTCCGAATTAAAATGTATACTTTTACTCCGATACATTTTCCCGAAGCATATTCGTTACTTACTACAAAATAGTCAGAAGAACACTGCAAGAAAGCAGGTTTGACGAATCAGTGGTCTGGCATCTGCAAGTTAGACTCCTAAAAACACCTTTGCTCATGTGCAAACAAGTGCGTGCACAACCGCGGATGATTCATTTCACACTCAATTCGAGTCTGGGGTGTGTGATATACAGTATATAATATGGTAAGTGTTGTTGTAATGATGTGCGATCTGACATTATCAGGTAGGCTATATCACCAAATCACACACAGAGTGCACGCACGTTGATTTATTGGTCTATTAAAACTCAAAATTCCAGGCATTCTAAATTGTAGAAGGCAAAAATGATTCTGTATGCTTTTTATATTTATATAATTTAATATAGTTAACTTAATATATATCACGCAAAGAGTAGGCCCTACCGTTTTTTTCTGCAGATATCAGCATAACACATTTCTCACCAAATCACACACAGAGTGCACGCACGTTGATTTATTGGTCTATTAAAACTCAAAATTCCAGGCATTCTAAATTGTAGAAGGCAAAAATGATTCTGTATGCTTTTTATATTTATATAATTTAATATAGTTAACCTAATATATATCACGCAAAGAGTAGGCCCTACCGTTTTTTTCTGCAGATATCAGCATAACACATTTCATAACTTTATACAAGTTCAGTAAAGCAATAAGTGACTTACATTTAAGACATAATAGCCTATTGCTTGTTTTTGCTCAATTCTGCTAATGAAAATAGTTCCAAACAAAGATTACAGCACTGTTTTGCATCTCTGAGCAATGGACCGTGTTTAGCCTACTTATTGAATGCATCAACTTTTTGAACGAATCGGTTGATAAAAATGATTCAGTGATTCACTCATTAACACAGTCAAATGCTTTTGCTGCGTCTCAATGTGCCTACTTATACTACGCCCTTAAAGTATGTACTCTTTTGGTGAAGAAAAAGTACACACTTTTGAGAGTGTAGTAGAAGAGTAGGCAAGCTTTGGGACATACTATCAGTTACACAACTGCGTCTTTAATGGATGCTCTGTCGCACCTGTTACACGCACCCTGTCTCTGTAAACTGGCCTGTCAATCATCTTGTCACAGTTAACATCCTCCACATTGCATTTAATTTAACTTCCTACCGTATCGGAGAGAAAAGAAGTAGCACATTCATGTCCCCTCTGAGATGCATTAAACTGTGTAAATACATCTTAAATGCCATTTCAGATTCAGATTCCAGAAATGTTTTCTTATGTTGGAATGAAAGACACTAAGTACCGGATGAAGTGCTTCTTATTCTTATCCAAAAATGCAAAATGGAAGAAAGAGTTAAAACTGAACACAATATTGCTACTCAAGCTGTGCATGAACATTTATACATATATATTTATTTGCTTCTTTTCCATTTTGCATTTACTTGTACTTTTACTTTCAATAAGTACGTTTAAGATTTAAAAAAATATTTTTCGTACTTAAAGGTCCCATATTTTACACCTTTCTGGAGTTTTATTTTAGGTTTTGATGTCCTTAAGAATATATATTTGCGGTATAAGTACCAAAAACCATCTCAATATATTTTTACAGCTCCTCTCTCAGGAGCTCTGCTGAGAA